TTTACTTTTCTGTCTTCTCTTCTTTTTTTCTTTTTCCTTGCACTTTTACTCCTTTTCTTTCTTTAAGTTTAGTTTGTATTAGATTTTACTATTATAATCAAACTTCTTAATAAAATTATATACAAAAAAAAAGAAAAAAGTTTCTTGTATTGCAAAGCTCTTGGCTGAAAAGTGAAGTGACAAGTCACATCAGTAGAACAAGTGAAATTTCAATTCATAATTTCCTGTTCCATATTTCACACTTCATTTCAACAAACTCATGGCTAAATGGGAACTAAGTAATTCTCTGTCTTTTTCCTCATTTCTAATTTTCAAAGTTGTCACACACAAAGGTCTAATTTCCATAATTACTTGTATGATTTGAAATTAAAATATTAAGGGAGAACAAGGAAAGAATTTCCTGGATACATTCACTCATATTAATCAACACTTATGTCATACCTTTAGCAATGAGATAAACCTTAGATAAAGAATCTCAAGAGATCCCCTTTGAAATATACCATGGGGGGGGGACCCTTGTGATAGTACCTAGTTTTTCAGTTTGATTTTGTCAATCCATACCTGTTTACAAAATCTCAGAAAACCAATGGAATACGTCTTTCCCCATAAGCAACAAGTCCCATACATACAGCTGGACCTAAAAGCAACAGAACAGTATGTCTGATTAGAACAAAATAAGAATTTATTAGCACTTGCTTAAAAAAAATAGATATATGTTTAAACATATAATAAGGGGATGATAATACCTCGTTTACGCAAAAATACTGTATAATACCTCTTTTAAGCAAAAATCTATCTAAGGAGTAAATAAGCAAAATAGGCACACAAACTTTTCTTTCACCATGCTTTCTTATGCCAAATTAAATCTGGAAGATTCAACACTTCTTCCACTGCTCTAGGACAAAACTTTCACTAATTTTAACAGAGCTACAGTACATTGTTTGTATTTCTCAAGTTCTCAATGTGGAACTTTGTTAATTTCAATGTTAATTTGAAATAGAAATAGAGACAGAAATGGTGTTGGACGCTGAATGCTTAAAATGAAACGCCGGAGGGAGAAAGAGCAAAAAGGCTACTAGTGGAATTTGTGTATAATTCAGTTAATCAACCAGCTGAGTGCAGTTACTGTTACAGTGAACAAATTTTATTCAGTATCAGGCACTGTTTTTATTACTAGTTTCTTTTCCATTTGGTTTCCTTTTATATATCACCATGAGTTGCAATTAGGTGGCTTATAAATAGAAATCACCATCTCCCTGTCAAGTACTCATTATAGAGGAGATAGAACAAATTGTATGATTGATATCTTTCTAGTTTTTCTCCCACCAAACAGAGAATGATTATATTGCAAAGCATCTGAAAGAGGTGCTTTACAAAACATGGGAGTACAAATGAAGCATTTCTCTTCAAATCATTAAAGCAGCTGCATCCTTTGCAAGAGCAGAAACAATTTTCAGCTGTACAAGCCTTGCAAAAGACAAAGGTTCTTGAACCATTCAAAGAGAATCATTCACAATCCATATGTTACAAGGCATCTCTTTCAATTGTTCTGCAATCTTAAAACATATAAAATATACATATGTATATATTTAGATACCAAATACTCACTCTATAGGCTTTCCTCTAATCTCAGACATGATGGAACTCTCTCCACCAAGGTACTCATAGCAGAGGCTAAGGAAGTTGTAGATGACAAAAGCTGCAAAAACAAACCAACCAACCAACCACAGATTAAGCCAGCAGAATATAACTCAGTATAAGCAAAATATCACTGTAAAAAGAAGCCACTGTAAGAATGACTTTTTGAAGAATGCCCTTCATGATTTTTGTATGTGCTTGTGATTTATTTTAAATCTGCTGTTTCAATAACGGGGTGCACTCTTTTAAATGATTTGTTAAAAAAACGATTTAGAGAGATGATGGATGTTGCTAAAAACTATAACACAGAAGTGCCATTATTGGCAGCTACTGCCAATTTACCAATTATTGGTAAATAAATAGCTCAAGACAAAACAATTTGCTTGTTGCCAGGACCAGCAGACTGAACAGATAAGGTGGAAAACAAGCAATAAGGAAACCCAGGCAGCATCTCATAATACCTACCTACCTACCTACCTACCTACCTACCTACCTACCTACATATATACATACATATAATGTTCATTAAGTTAAATTAGAAAACAACCAATGCTTTCACTAGACAAAATATTGTTTCATAGTTATTCCAAGTGAAGCACCTTCAGCAAACAAGTTAGGTTCTACAGACAGTGACCTCTATGTTCTATAAAAAGAAATCCAGATCAGAATTTTAGATAACTGGCACCTAACTATTCAAGTAAGGATGCACATCAAGCCTATGATTCAATGTTACACTCCCAAACCAGCAAACCAGCCATTCCAGGCTAGTTATAGAATTATTTATTATGAGCATTGACCTGTTCTTTTAGAAAGTGCTCTGCAACCAAAAGAAAAACTGCAGCATTTAACAAGTAACATGTTCAGATGTCTTTTTCATTGCATCTTAAATATATTTTTAGAATCACAGTGCTCCCTAGTGTCTATGACACTGATAGTATATTCAGTGAAGAAGTGTCTTAACAAGGTCTGTTATCCAACTACTAACCATGTACTACATGGATAAACTTGTTCATAAAAATAATAAATATCCACCCTCTAGGATAAATCAGCATATTTTGGCCAGGTCATCACATTTAAAAGAACACAGAATGCTAACATGGCATTTACAAGTTCTTATAAAGAGAATAGTACAAATTCCTGCATGCCTAGAATAATGGTGGTTTCACAGCACTCATAATACAATTTGGTGAGTTCCTAATTCAAATCTGTCTCTATTCCAAAAGCAGTAGATGCCACCTCCTATCCACTATAACAGCTTACAAGTCTATTGTCAAAATTACTGAGAATACATACAAGAAGCCTTTCAGCACCTGAAATGCCATGTACTACTATCAAGATTATCATTAGCTTTAGTCTTAGTTTATTGAATAAACTGTTATGAAATAATAAACTTCTAACAATATAAGCTAATTTTAATAGAACATACCTTCTCAAATAATCCAAAAAGAAGAGAGTCATTCCTTATTTGGACCCTATTTTATTTGGCCATTAGCTATGGTGTATCTTTTCCCAATTTATCCTTGGCCAATTGATTGTTTTCCACTGTTTCGCCAAGAGACTATTGATGGATGTTTCAAGTAAGGTGTCACATAGCGTATTGAACTGCAGATGTGAGGGTCTTGATTAAACAGAAAATATTGTTTAATCCTGTAATTATGTTGTGTGCTCCTTAATAAACACATGGATCTACTGCAGATGCTGCTGTGATTCAGTTCCATAGTATTACCCGCAACTGAGATAACATGTGCAGGATGATGGCTCTTATCTCACATACTTCCTTCTTTGAGAAGAATGTTCTTTAAGGTACTTAATGCAACTTTTATCTGAGATTCAAACTAAATGTGTCATGCTAACAACACTTGCAGTGATTATATCTCATTTTTTTCTTCCAAAAAATTAATAAAAGGAGCATGGGGGTGGGTATGGAAGTGATTTTCACTGAGACAGCAGAAAAGAGATTCTTTCCTCGGGCTAATAACAGGCAGGGGAGAGAGTTATTTTCTTTGGACCACAATAAAAGATTTAAGCCTTTTATGTCTGCTCACTTTGGCTCTGAGAACATATGACCCACCAAACATAATTGTTGTATTTCTGTACAACAATAAATAAAGAATAAAGCAAAGCGCTTTTAAAGAACTTAATATTGAATGCTTGCTGCCACCATAAGGATTTATTCTACTAAAGTTTCAAGATATACTAATTCAAATAATACTACTAAGTGTTAACTCTGAGCAGCCTCCTTTTCAATTATTTATTGGAGAATTCTGTATGATTTAATGGATAATAAATGTCTTCTAATTGTGACCAAAATGTTGGTTCAACCTAGAAACTTCAGAGATCTATAAAACAAACCCAACTATTCGTTCGAGGAAGAAACAAGAAACCATGCTGTCCAGGAGGCTATCCCCTTTACCCTCTTAGAAAGCAAGGATTACTTACAATAATGTATTTACTTATTCATAAATAACAAACAATATAAGAGCAGTAGTTCATCACAAGAGGTTTCCACCAGGATACAGCAATCATATGTCCATTTTACCCGGAAAGGAATTAACTTCCAAGAAGATATGCATAAGTTTGCATGGAAATGTCTGCAAGTCACTGGTCACAATAGTCTTTATTGTCAAATATGCTTATTATTTAAAAATTCCAGAAACACTATTTGTCATCAGATCACTATCATCAGACCACGGTAAGAAAATTAAGAAATAGACAAAAAAGCAATGGGGGGGGGGAGGTGGAAGGAAGAACAGAATACATTTGGTTTGAGTATATATTTTAAAACACTGATTTAAAATGAAGTGTTGAATATGTTCATTAACATTTGTATAAGGGCAGTCCAAAAGCAAAATAAATAATCTCCCTTGAAATGAAGACAGATCCCCATCCTCTTTTGCTCTTGCTTTTTCTAGAAAGAGTTCTGAAAAATTCAAGAGCAGACAACACAGAAGAGGAGGGGGAATAAACACTATTAACACACAGGCTATTGACAACCTGGCAAATTTAGAATGTGGGCTGACCCTCCAAACAGATGTTATGATGTTTGCAGTCTCCCTAAGCGAAGCAAAGGGAATAATAACTGTTGCTAGGAGATGAGATCCACAAAACAGCAGGCTTCCTGCTATGACTTTGTATATACACATACAGCAATGGATAGGAATGGGAAAACTCAACCAAACAAAGGTAATTTCTGACTGTTGCTTGCTTGATTTATATCCTGCCTTTTTGGGAAGGTTTAGGACAGCTTACAAAAAAACTCTATTCATTTTATTTGAACACCAATAACTCTGTGAAGTAGGCTGGACAGAGTGTGTGTGACTGGCTCAAAGTTACCTGGTGAGCTTCCAGGCTGAGTATATATTTCTGCCATCAGGTATTATATTCCAGTGCACTGTTATCAATATGAAGGGCCCCACATTTCTCTCAAATAGAGAATTTTGGGTCCTCCATAGTCCCTTGTGAAACCAAGATTGTCATATCCCATCCCAAGCAAAAAAGCATAGCTAACAAACCCAAAATAAAGGAATATGGCCTAATTACAGAAAGAAGAATATTACACAAGATAGGCAGACTCTAAAGGCTCAAGCCGCACTTCAGAAATCCAGATGAATGAACCGGAGGACTGGAGCAAGGCTACAAAAAGCAGTGTCTCCAACAGTTTTCAAGGGAGAATGTTTTATACTGGTGTTCTCAAATCTTCGCCCCAGCTGGTGTGCAGTTGTCTTGCTCAGAAAACAGAAGTAAAAGCAATTATTCTCAAAGATCTCTCTCCTACAGTCTTATATTTCTGCATATTTCAGTTCTGATATTTGACATTACTCTGCTTCGGCCTCCCTTGGAGTCAGACAGTATGCTAGAGAATCTGCACTAGTGTTGTAGGAAACAAGCCTCAAAGTTTACTGTGGATTGGGTCTTTGCATGTCTTTGTGTTTGGGCCTGGCTCAGTGGATATCTTGGCTGAGCCACCCTCTAGTCATCCTCTTCCTCTCAAGATGAATCACCCATTGAGGGCATGACATCAATTCCCTTAAAAAACAGCTTGTCTCAGAAGAAACAAAAGATGTCCACGCCAAAATATTTTAAAGATCATCATGTTCTGGAATGAGAATATCTATTCTCTTGAGTTGTGTGATCACTTTAAGTAACTAGAACATTTTTAAAAAAATAGGAACGACATTTTTTCAGCTGAAGATAATGAATACAACTGCATTATTTTTAGACTGATGGTTTTCTGTGTCAAGTGACTGCTCCAGAGGGTGGAGAAAAGCACAACAGGATTCTTGGCTTGATACTAATCAATAGGGAAGAATTAATTAAGGAAACTGGAAGTATCAGAAACACTCAAGAGAAAGTCACCATGGAATGATCTTGACTTTAATGGAAACTAAAACTGACTACAATCTAGTATGTATCTTGGAGTTCCAAAAAGTAAATTCTATTGACTTCCTGGGAAGCAATGGTAGACTGAAGACGGCTCTGTGAAAGCGAAGCCAACAACCGTGGCAGAACGAGGAACCAGCAAAAGGATCGGCTCCTCGGAATTCCTCTCGGGAGAAGGAGGACCAGGATTGCCCACAAGCACTCCATACAGTGGCTCCCTATGCCGAGACCATAAGATTTTAGAGCTCTGGGCACTAGGAATAGCCATCTTTGCCTAAGCCACAGTTAGAAGCCTTTCTAAAGGACACTGGGTTCACATACTTCCTTTCTTAATCATTTTTGGAAATTGCTTGTTAACAGCTTTGTGAATATTAAGAACCTTCAGAAAGGCAAGTTTCATTACCCCTGGTGAGTTTCTTTCTATCCTTGATGAAAGAAGTCTCTACGTAAGTTTAAGGACTTAAAAAGAATTCTTATTTTGGAATAAACAGCAAAAGGGTGATTAGAATGTTGATTTTGGGGTCAGAGTGACTTGAAATAAGATTTTGAAATTAATTATAAGAATCCTTCCTGTGGGTTGTTTAAAACTTTATAAAAAACACATATGAAGATTTTCAAATGAAGTGTAAGGAACCTTCCCGTGGGAAAATGATTAGAAAGAAAATATGATAAGAGATGACACTGAAAGTTAGACACTAGAGGGAACCAGAAAGAACTAAAGATTATAATTAAAGGAGAAGAGGCTTACTAATACAGAATGGAGCAAAGTAATCTGACTTTGGAAGAATTCAAGGATATTTGGGAACAATGCACTTAGAAACTACTCTTAAAGAGTCTGTTATTACAGATGGGGAAGAGATTTTACTGGACAAAATAGAGACTGAGGCTGATTTGAGTGTGGATCTGAAAGTGGATTTAAAAGTGCCAGGCTACAAGAATGATATGGAAAAAGATGTTACACTAGATTTACAAATGAAATTGGCTGATGTCTTCATAGCTAAAAGGGACATACAAATAACAAATCAGAAGAGTGATTTGGATAACTTTTCTATTTTGGATTTACAAAAGAGACATGGTAAACTTATGAAGGAGTTCCTGAGAAGAGACAGAGAAAATGGCAAAAGATCAATTTTTGGGACATTATCTAAAGGGATTAAGGCTCAAGATTTTAAAAAGTAAACAGAAGGAATACAAAGTTGGTTTATTTGACGAAGGTTAAAATATATATGTTGCTGTTTCTGGTAGCAATTAATGGAGTTTTTACTAGGACTGAATGACTGAGGTTTTAAGGATTTTTTTATAAATAAGAGATAAGATATGGGAAGAAGAGATCCTTTGCTATATTTTTAGAGAAAGTGATTGTTTATTGTGTTAAAAGGAAAGAAAAGGAATATAAAACTGGGTTATTTGATTAAGGTTAGAATAGATATGTGGTTACTTCTGGTAACTCTTAATGGACTTTTGCTGATTAGGATTGAATGACAAAGTTTTAAAATCTGTTTATAAATAAGAAATGAGATATGGGAAGAAGAGATTTTTTGTTTAAGTATTAGAGAAGGTATAAGTTACTGAAATTGTTTGTACTTGATGGAGAAGCCATTTCTTTATATATCATTTACTTTATCTTTTTTTCTTTTTCTCTGCACTTTAAAATTTTTCTTTTTTCTTTTTTTCTTCTTTTATTTTTCTTAGTTTGTATTAGTTTATCTTTGTATTTGTAAATTTCAATAAAAATTATTAAAAAAACAAAAAGTGAATTTTATTTAACTCAGAGAAATGAGAAGTAGGACCCTATGGTAGGAGAAACTAGTGGGAAAAGGAGCTCAAAATGGGTAGAAGTTCCTAAAGAAGGAGACATTAAAAGCATAATTGTAAATAACTTAACTTATAGAGGAGAATATAAAGAAGCTGGTGTAGCTATACAAAAAACTTAGGGAAGACCTGAAAACAAAAAAGGATATATAAGGGAATGAAAAGAGGATGACCTTTGTGACCTCACAAAGATGGATAGGCAGCCTGGAATTGTAGAGCTGCAGTTGGGAAAGAGAATGCTCATAATGAGTTCAGTTTAGCAAAGGAAGCAACAAATATCAAAAAGGAGTTTTTTAGATATGTTCAAAATAAAACAAAAATGATTTAGTATACCAGCTGCTCAATGACAAATAAGTTGCAGGAAGGCAGATTCTGACTGAATACCAGAATGTTAACAGTAAGAATAGTTTGACAATGGAACTATTTATGCAGAATGATAATGGACTCCCCTTCATTGTATGTACTGAAGTGGAGGCTAGGCAGCAATATAGCTTTAAGCTGAACTCCTGCAACAAGCAGAGAGGTGGATTCAAAGGCATGTTTCCTTCCAACTCTATGATCCTATGATCTCTCTGAGCAACTTCAAAAGTTCTATAAAGTAAATTAAAATTGACTTTTTGAAAAAAAAATGCTACATTAAAGATAATCTGATGGATGGGGGACAGCTGGGGGGACATAAAATATTTTTCATTTATTTTCTGCAAGTATTTTACTAACCACCTCTTTTTCCTAAAGGAATTGTGGCTACATTTAAATCTATGATATTTGGAAAGGCCGCTTTCTCTAATGGATTTCCAGTTGATTGGTAAAAATATATTGCTTTTGCTTTACTGGAGATACTTGCTGAAGCTTTCCTAACAGACTGTTATCTTCTATTTTAACAAGGCTTATATTATGGCCTTCCCAAACTGGAAAGGATCCTAGGTTTTCCATTCATAAACTATTTATTTAAAAAACTGGATGCTCAGATTTGCACACTACATTGGCCCATAGGTTACAGTGTATACTTCTAACCAGCTTAAATTGATTTCATACAAATCCATCACATTCTAATATTTGATTTCTAATTGATGTAATAGTTAATTATTGACAACATTTATGTCTTTTGTACCAATTTACATTATTTGAATAATAACAACTGAACAATTGTGTCAATTGTCTGGACTGCTTCAGTAACAGTGGATATGTCCTATTATTTTGGGGTAGGTGGTAAAATCTGAACTAAAATATTGCCTACTGCATCCAATGTCTACTAAATGGAAGCCTGTAAAATTGAAGTTTTACTTAACTGATAAATCTCCCTTTTAGGGATATGTCTTACATTTACCTTGAACTAGCTTAGTTCTGATGAAGCAGGTTTTAAAACTTTTGCAGGACAACTCCAGGTTTGATTTATGTCAGAATGCTTTTTTGCCATCCATCCATCCATCCTCTATCTATCTAATGTTATAGATGCTTTTGAATTTCCATATTGGTTAAAGTCATGTGAGACAATTGTAGTTTCTATGTCAGCAACCTATCTTTATGGGGCTGAAGAATATAGACATAAATGACACTACTTTTTATATTAATTATTAATTCATTTGCAAGTAAACTTGAATGTCCTTTTTAAAATAAACATGATTCTTTTGATTTTAAAATGTGGTTAATACAGAAAAAATATTTTATGTATATCGACCACCTCAAAGAATAAGGCTTGGATGTTTGCTGATGGAGATACAGTTAGAACTTTAGGGCATGTAGTTGGACCTGCTCTAATACAGGTAGTCCTCATTTAGCGACTGCCTTGTTTAGCTACAACTGTTCACAATTATAACAGTGATGAAAAAGTAACTTTATGACCAATCTTCACATTCACAAGCTTTGCAGATTTATAAAGCAAAGGAACCCCTTCATGGATCACTGCCTTGTCATTGTGAAGGGGCTTGCGTAACTCAGTGAAGGCATGAGCTATACCGTGCAGGGCCACCCAAGACGG